CTATACATCCTTTAAATGTCCTCCAAAGCAACAACACAGAGGAAAAGAAGAAAAACAGAACTACTCAAAGTTTAGGAACTAACGGTTTTGTTAGGTTGACAAGTTCTCAAAAAGTTGCATTCTCAGGGCACTTTGAAATGTGGTACAGTCCTGTTAGGTAGACTAAATGACATGAATGAGAGGCTATCCCACTTTGAGCTACAGCTCCCCAAACAACTTTTCAATTCGACAGTTTCTCCATTTTTTTTCCTCCACTCAGACACAGAAATTAAAGCACAGTTCTACCTGAGATAGTGAATGCAGTAACTGAAGATTTAACCCAGTTAGCGCCTCAAAAATGAGCACCTCTCAAAAATGACTATTTCCTGGCATAAATGAAGCCATACTGTAACTCCCTTAATCCAGAATGGCATTATAGTTTCACCACGGTGTGCATACAGAAGATGTAAACGGATGAAGTGCAGTAGATGAACTTAAGCACCATGTGATTTGTGGGTGCTGACAAACATGAACAAATCATAGTAGCAGACCCATTCAGTTGGACCTGACATGTGGCAAAGTGCTGTCCTACAAACAGCGTAGAAAGGGCGTCACCAGAGGAAAAAGCTGTAACTAGAAAAGACAGCATTCTTGGTGACCTGTGCCCTCCTTGCTTCATGAGCAAAAGCTTCAGTCACTGGGAGTTTAAAAAACAGTTTGTGGCATCTGGAAACTGAAATCTGTTGATTCCCATGGCTCCACTGCAAAACACTTAGGACAGGAGGGGGAAAAATTGCTACTGCAATGCAGGCTGTGTTCAAGGTCAGATGGAGAATAGCTGGCTCAGGCTAAAAATGGACGCTGAATGCAAAGAAAATCACGGCTGCTGCAGCTGCACAAAGGCTGTGGGCAGGACCCATATCCCTGTGCTCCTTGGGGCAGGAAAAGAGCTAAGCTCTAATGAAAACCCAAGAGGAGCATGGACTTCAGTGATGAGCAATGCTCAACTACCAGCAGTTGCCAGCTCAGCCTAACAGTAACAGGGCCACGAGAGCTATATTAAAAGACACAGAGTGTTCCGAACACCACAAGAAAACCACAGCCTGGAATGTCCTCAGTTACTGCCTACAGCTCTTCAAAGTCCCAGGAGGGAGGGTCTTCACAGGGAGCTGATGCAAACTAAGGGGAGGAGGCCACGGAACATGAGTTAGCTCAGACGTAAAGGCTGAGCCTGATGAAGGGCAGGCTGGTTAGAGGCGCTTAGCCAAACTTCTGTCCCTTAGGGTTTGTCCCCCACCTTCTCTACAAACTGTCCATAATGACGCAGCGGCTCCCAGTAATGCTCTGCCCTGGCTTGCTGCTCTTCTTCTGCATTGCACTCATTTACTTGCTCACTTTGACTTTTCATTCGCTCATTTACTTGTTGACTCCCTGAAACTGCCTAGGTTTTCACCTCAGCAATCTCATACCATCAATGTATGGTGGCCATTTGGTCACCTACAAATCTACGATACACAACCATGTTCTTCATTGTTTGGCATCACCCATGAGTGCCAAAAGTCATAGATTAAAATGAGAAGAAAAAAAATATCTGTAATTCCCTCCCTAATAAGAAAGATACAAAGTGCTGTTTTATCACTGATGATTGTATTATTCTTCATTTATTTAGCAAGCATAGCTCTCCACCATTATTTCTGAGAAGACACCTCACTTTGGAGGCAAGAAGCCTCAGTCACTTCTGTATGACACAGAGCCACATTAGTCCCGCAAGCCCCCATTAAGCTAAGTAAGGCACATGGAGGAAAAATGGCATAGATAACTTGGGTCTTCTCTAGCTAGATATTCCTAAATATATTGTTTATGGCCCTGGACTGTTATCGTGAGAAAGAGACAAATTTCTCCAGCACCTATGACAGCCAGACAATTTTCTGCATCTCAGCTATTTGGCAAAGAGATTCTAGACCATAGGAGACACAGAATCTCTCCTTTGCTTCCTGGCGACTTCCACTCAATTTTATCCTTCTCCTTATCGTAAGGATGAATTTTATCTCTTTAGCTCATTTGCTCTGCCTAGCAGAGTAGTAGCTGAGCCAGCACTGGGAACAGCAAGTTATTCTAGCTTTTGCTCCAAGGAAGTCTGAAGACAGAGAACAAAAAGAAGACCCAACTTGTGCAAACCAAGTTTTTGTAACAGGAATTAGTACCCTGAGATAACACAGAATGTGACCTGGCTTCCTTCTGTAGATTGTGGACAGTCTCTTAGTTTCAGAGTATCTTATATTGTCCTGTATTATCCATGTCTGACACTGTTCTTCATGTTGGCCTGCCATAGAGCTGTAGCTACAACCGTGCACTTCTGGTTGCTGTGCTGCACCGTCTAGGCTGGGAAGACATGCCTACCTGAGGCACAGTAGGCACATAGTGCACCCCGAAGTCCAAGCAGGCCCAACACTTACATCAGAGTCCAGCAGGCACGGCAGCAGCCCTGACCAACAGGATTTCTGCCTCAGAAACAGCCAGTCTATTATCTTCATTAGTACTAACCTTAATTTGGTTATGACTCTAACTGAGCAGCACTCAAAGAAGTTCAGACCAGCCCAAAACAATGAGGGTAATCACTAGTCCAGATCTGGGAAAGCAGCAGCCAAAGGCTAAGCCTGGCAAGCATCAAAAGAAGAAGGAAGACCGATTGAGCCTATTTGCAAAGAAGGGCTTTGTAAAGACTGGTCCTGGAGGACAGAAATGGGCAAGCAAACAGGCAGAGACTAGTGAAGGTGCCAGTGCGATGGGCAGATGAAGGTCCAGTGAGACATGTCTTCTAGACACACACACATGTATCACACCAAACCCAGTACAGAGACATCAAATCAAAGTAACTGCCTCATTTTTTTTTAATAGCCTGAGATAGTTAATTAATGACAGGTCAGGAATTTTCTTACAGTGTTTTTCCTGCTAGCCTTAAATGGTTTTAGCCCATGGCCACATGGTAGCTTTTAGGTACCAAGCAGATTACTCAAAGCCTCTTAGCTATCCTAGGCAACCAATATTTACATTCAAACATGTCTTCTTCACCCAGCTAGCATCAATTTGAATTCTTCCCAACCAAAATAGAAAAAGAATCAGTTCGTGTACTGCTAAAAACAGCTTTCGGGGAGTAAAGGTGGAGACGAAGCATGCAAGACAGGAAAGGATGAGGTATGACAAAACAAGGCAGTTCTCCCCATACTATGTTTAAAAGGGAGGTACTAGAACGGAGAGTGAGTATGTCTGGCAGCTATCCAGTGTGCCCGACGTGCAGGCGTGCGCGGCGCCTTTGAGGTTTCGCTCCACGCTGGCTGGGCTTGCGCAGGCTCCCCGGGCAGCTTTCTGTGAGTTGGTTCTCCCCGCCTTGCTTCAGCTTCTGCACCCAACTATTCTCATGTGGCCGAATGGTTTGCGGTTTCCTGCTGTAGGAGATATGAACCCGGAATTGCACACAAAATGAAAGTCCAAGAACAACTTTAGCTTAATCTTCATCACACTTTTGCTTCCTGAAGCCTAAACAATTTCAAGACTCCCTAAACCTCCAAGGCTCTGGCCTCAGCGGCGCTGGGAGATCTTCACAACCTGGAGACCTTTACGCAGCTTTAAGCCACCACGGTCCCCTTTGGGTGTGTGCAGGCGGGTCTGTATTTAATTCTTCCCTTCCTAGCCTTCAGGGCTGAGTTTCACCCAGATTAACGTGTTCGTTCAATTGCCTGAGGCAGCCCCTGGCCCGGCCGCAGGGGCAGGAGCAGAGGCAGAAGCAGAAGCAGGGACGGGGCGGGAGCAGGTACAGGGGCAGGAGCAGGGACAGAGACAGGGACGGCGGCCGGGGCGGGCAGGGCGGCCCCGACGCGAGGCCGCATGGCGGGCGGGGAGGCGCATGATGAAATTTCTGCCGGGGTTTCAGCAGGCGGCGGCAGGGGAGGA